TAAAGCGTACAGTTTTGGGAATGTTTGGATTATTTAGGTTGTTTGGGTTGTCTGGGATGTCTGGGATGTTGAGTATTTGGGATGTTTGGGTTATTTGGGTTATTTGGGTTGTTTGGGATGTTGAGTATTTGGGATGTTGAGTATTTGGGATGTTTGGGTTATTTGGGTTGTTTGGGTTGTCTGGGATGTCTGGGATGTTGAGTATTTGGGTTGTTTGGGATGTGGATAAGATAATAGGGGCGAAGGTTTTTTTTTTAATACTTGTATTTAAATTTTTATGTAATATACTCATCACTTTCTGTTCCTCTTTTCATGTATCATTGAGTTGTTATTGAGAAGCACAACTTGCTAGTTATCTAAGAGGTCATCCGATCAGTGCAAGAATCTGAGAAGCACATGAATGGGCATTGAGCTTAGTAGAGGTTTAGAGAAGAAGGAGAAGAATGTAGTTCCCGGAACTCGGACCAACTAGGGATGTTGAAAAATGACCAAGATCCCGGCTGTATCTTCGCCATATTTCAAAGGGGCGTCTGTGTTGGCCCGACTTTTGATACTCGTAAGAAAGAAAGTGACAACCAAGTATGCGCACTTAGTTAAAGTCATATTGACAGAATGAGATGACATTGACAAATTAATTTCAATCAGTCAGCTGTGTTAAAAAACGTTTAAAAGTTTATTTAAATTATATCGAGTCTTAGCGTAAAAGATTGTTAGTTTGAGTACAGCAAGTTTGGGATATTACTAAACCAGTATTAAAAGTAATGTTGGAAATAAAAAATGGTCTCCTAGAGAACAAGGTTGTTGATGATAGTAGGCGAATGATTTTGAAATATTAATTGATTGATGGTTTTTTGAAGAAGAAAGAGTAGGTATTTGTGAGTTTAAACATACCAGGTATAATATAAATATTATATTAATCAATTTAATTAATTACTTAAAATGGTTGTAAAGCTTTGACCAAGTTTATTATTTTAATGTGGATTCCTAAGGTTTTACCTCTGATATTTATTTATCTAGTTCAGAATGACGTTATAATTCATATATTTTGTATCATAAGTCGATATCATTATATTAAATATATTAAACCTTAATATTCCTTATTTTTACTATTACATACATATTATTATTATTATTCTTACTATATTTTCTATGCCAGATCATAGATCATAACCATGATTACTATATTGTATATTATTACTGTTTCTCTATTTATTGCGTCATGTAATAGTATTAATAAGAATGAGGGTTTTGCTGTATAAAATTGAATTGTATCTCTGTTTCGACTGTTTATACAAGATGAGCTGATATATTGTTACTGATGATCATTATTATAAATTTATTTGATATTACATTTGGCTTGGTAATACTTAAGAATCTGCATTTATTAAACTTTGGAAATAAAACCCTTTAACCTATAAACTTATACCTATATATATATTTCTATAAATCTACTGTATTAAACTAGTAAATCTAAATCCCCTAAAGTGACAACAAGCTAACTGAAACTAATAATCTCAAAACGTTTGATAAAACCTATTGTTAAAACTAATATTCAAATACAATGAATATAAAGCTGACAACCATTATTTGTGTGTTTTTATTACTTAATCTAATTTCCTCTCTCTGGCATCCTTCCTATCTAGAAGCGAATTCAAATAACACAACGTAGGTACCTTTCCGACTAGACTAGATGATCACACCGTTTTTGGCCACACTTGACAACATTGCGAAGTTGTTGAGGTTATGTTTGAATTCGCGAGATTCTTAAAATCTCTTTGGGTTACTACTTTTTACTCGAGTATGGGGTACCCCCACCCCGTGCCCATCACACAACTATTCTTAAAATTGTTGTTGGTAATAATAAGTTTATTATTTATTAGTGCTGTACAATTTAGCCGGTAAAGCCGGCCAAAAAAGTCAGCTAAGTTAATTAGCTAGCTAACTGATCATCTATGCTAATTTAACCAGTTAACTAATTTAGCTTGGCTAATTAGCTGGCGGCTTAACCGGTTAATCTAGCTTAGCTTAGCTAATCAGCTAACGGCTAACCAGCCAAGCGGCTAATTTTTTTAAGCTCTTTTATGATTTATTTATTCACGGACAGGTTCAAAAATTAATATTAATGTTTTTTTAATAAAAAAAGACGGTAATAATGTCTATTATATAATAGAATATGTGGGCAATCTCCAGGATTCAAATAAAACACATAAAATTAATATGACAAGTTCCTAATTTCTATTTCCTACGGTCCCCTCTACGGAGATAAGGGCCCATAACGGACGCCCCTGAAATAGTTTGTTTTTAAATAATTTTTGAAGTGCCAGGTGGAATTTAATATTTTTTTAATATGTTGGTTACTAAGAAAGTTTCCTTAAAATGGGCACTTTTAATCACATTCGGCTTATTTACTTTGCCAGGGACGGACTAGCTCTGACAGAGTAATGCTATTTTTTTAACACAAGGCACAACAATATTATTTTTGGTTAGCTTAAACCTTAAACTAAAAAAAGGTACTCTTGATCGACATCGATATATTTTTTATGTGTTCTATCTAAATCCGGGAGTTTGTCCACATATTTTGGGACACCTTGTATATAAATAATAAATAAATATGCAAATAATAATTTCTACTAAATAATAATCAAATTGTTAACGAAAAAGCGGTTTTAATACATGATTTAAATTACTCGCGCTTTTTGATTTGTCAATGTCGACGTTTATTCGTAAATAAGTTCCCAGTAAGCACCAAACACTCGGCAAACAGTCGGCCTTCGCTCGGCATAGGTGGTTGACCGGCGGTTAGGCTTGCCTCCAGTCGTTCCGCTTATGGCCCGCGTTATGTTAGCCCGGTACCGTTTGGCCAAAGTCGGCCAGAATACGGCATGCCGCTGCTAAATCGTTCGGCTTGCCCTAGCCGGCCCGCTTACGGCCGGAATACGGCCTGCCGCGGCATAAGCAATACATCTCACGGCTGCTTACGCAAGCGAGCTAACTATAAGTAGCGATGGTTTGCAATATTTAGTTGGAAGTGTGCCTCTGTAATGGTATAGCTGAACATTAATTGTTAGAAGTCCCCATCTCCATCCTCATCTGCTCAGTAACGAATAATGGCTAGCTATAGTCGAGTTTGTTAAACCTATAGGATATAGGCTTATGTCAGGCTGTTGTGTCCGGCACTCGGCCAACTATACACAGCCGACACTCGGCCGAGTAAACACAGCCGACATTCGGCTGGGCGGACATGCCCGGTCTACACGCCGGAACAAATACATGTGTCGGGCCGCACGCGGCCGATTCGGCAAAACGTATTCGGGCCGTATGCGGGCCGGCTAGCTTGTTCTTACTGGGTTAGTTTTGTTAACTGTATGTTTTTATGCGCTGGGTATTTTTCTTGTAAAATTAACATTATCATATACATTCGGCTGGGCGGACATGCCCGGTCTACACGCCGGAACAAATACATGTGTTGGGTCGCACGCGGCCGATTCGGCAAAACGTATTCGGGCCGTATGCGGGCCGGCTAGCTTGTTCTTACTGGGTTAGTTTTGTTATCTGTATGTTTTTATGCGCTGGGTATTTTTCTTGTAAAATTAACATTATCATATTTTACAAAAGTTTTATATTTCTCATACATTTAAAAACTGCAATTCAACGATTCAATCGAATATTATATACATAAATTGCTACAAAACAGCCATGCTATAAACTTCAAACAAACGTCAAACAACAAATTAAAATAAAGTCAATTTAATTAAATATTTAAAAATGTCATCACTATGAAATCACTTTACACTAGTTACAAGTGGTATTGCCAGATGTAAATATTGTCCAATTGAGTACAATATAAAAAAGACAACATCATCACTTAGATACCATTTAAAGAATATGCAATAATGACAAAGTGCAATCAGTGACATTAAATGAAAAAACGGAATCTGATTCATGGTAAGTTTTATTTTTTTTATTTTGTACGGAATTATTTCCGTTGATCAAATTTAATATTTTTTTGGAAACAAAAATTTCAATTTTTATTAATATATTAAATTAATTTATAAGTATAAATTATAATTAATTTTAATGATCATCAAGCTCAGATACACAGGAAAATCAAAAGAAACGGCGCTTATCAAAAGAATATTACAGCCGTAAAGTAAGTATTTAATTTAGTAAGAAAATTAAAATTTTTTAAAAAAGTTACTTTACATTTAAAAAGTTATTTTACATTTAAATACATTGTTTCTATCGATTCTATCGTTAATATATTTTTTTTAATTTTTCTGTTTTTTTAGAATCCTAAGGCAGAAGCAATCACCATGTCACTTGTAAAATATATAGCAATAGATATGTTACCGTTAGAAGGTCCAGGATTCATACAATTCATTAAAGTCCTTTGTCCTGAATATGTGATCCCGAGTAAAATGGTCATAAAAAGTTGCTTAAAAGTCTTATATGATACAGTGCGTAACGATGTACTGGCAACTTTTCGTCATTTTCCTGATGTGTCGATTACGACGGTTGCTTGGTCATCATCTCGTTCTTTAAACTCGTTCGTTACTATTACAGTATATGCCATAGACGAGCTATGGAATTTACGTTCTGTAACTTTAGACACATTAGAAATTACTGAAACTCACTCGGCAGAGAATATTTATAATCATTTATGCAATGCTTTATCGGAGTGGAATATTGCTGAAAAAACAATTGCTGTGTTACATGATAATGCCCCGAATATGGTCTCTATAATGCGGGAAAGTTTCACTGCTGATAAAAAAATTGGTTAAAGTGTTCGTTGTTTTGCCACTCGTTGCAGATTGTTGTTGAAAAATCTTTCAAAGAAGAACATTTTAAAAAAACATCTTCAAAATGTTTCCGCAATCGTTGGCCACTTTAAGCATTTATATAAAGCAACAAACGCTCACAAAGATGCTCAGAAATTACATAATTTGCCTAACCATTGTTTAATTAGTTACTGCGTAACGCGTTGGAATACAGCTTACGCCATGATTGAACGGCTATTAGAACAACGCCAAGCTGTTGAAAGTGTATTTCTGAATCCTGAATTTATAAATACAGCTTTTTCTAAAAAATTGCTTTCAAGCAATTTAGAATGGAATTATTTAAAAGCTCTTGTCATAATATTAAAACCATTTGAAGTAGCAACAACATTAATGTCCAGTCAATCTGAGTCAACTATTGCAGTGGTACCGCCACTTATTTATTGGATGATAGATAAATTTTTAAAACATAATGATACGAACGACTTTACAAAAATTCGATTACTTAAACAAGTATTTCAAGAAGAATTGGTAGCCCGGGTTTTAAACGAAGACTGCGATTCCGTATGTGCATTAGCCTGGTTTTTGGATCCTAGGTATAATTATTATTTAATACATGTATACACTGATAAAAAAAATAGCTTAATTCAAGAGAAAAAATCTTGAACCAAGAAAATCATTTAAAAAAAATTAATTATCTTAAATTTACTTTTGTTTTAAAAATATTTTAGATACAAGAATATGGCTGATGAAACTCAAGAGTATCGAGACTCTGTCCAAGAAAAACTTTTAAAGATTATGGCCAACGACATTTTTCAAGGGATATCAGTAGTTGCCAATAAAAACAAAAGAGAGAAGGACTTGGATTATCTTTTCAATTGTGAGGTAGCCTTAACCCAAAGTTTTGGGAGAATGGTGAGCTTTAAAAGTGATAATATAAATTATCAGAGTGACATACACAAAATAGAAATCGATAGCTTCAAAATGGAGCCATATATTCCTCTTGTTGATAATCCCCTTCAATGGTGGCATTCGAAAAGCCATAAGTTTTCTCAACTGGCAAGATTGGCAAGAAGATTTTTAGCTGTTCCAGCATCAAGTACACCCTCTGAAAGGGTTTTTTCCTCAGCCGGAAATATTATAAGCTCTAAACGGAACTGCTTACTTCCAGAAAATGCAAATTTATTAATTTTCCTTTACCAAAATAGAGATATAACTGAAAAAAAAAATTAACAATTAATTTAAAAGCCATTTTTATAAATAAAATGTAAAATATTATTTAAGCAATAAATTACTCTATTATTGTTTGTCATAAAATCAACATCAATAATATTATTTTTTTAACCTGTCCGTGAATAAGAAATCATTATATAGCTTAAAAAATTAGCCGTTTAGCCGGTAGCTAATTAGCTGAGCTAAGCTAAATTAACCGGTTAAATTAGCTAAGCTGATCAGTGAGCTAGCTAATTAACTTAGCTAACTTTTTTGAAATTGTACAGCACTATTATTTATACACACTTCCTTACATTAAAATAAAACACTAAGTCATTTTTGTTGATCCAACTCTTTTCATATAAACAAAAATTATTAAATATATACGTTAGTTCCTTTTCGATTTAATTTTTTTAACCAAATGGATTTCGAGAAACTTTGCCTTTTTCAATTCGAATCTAAAAAATCCTCCCAGAATAGGTTTTCTATACTGATCCTCCAAGATGTAAGTTGAAGGATTTGTTAATTTAACCTGTTTCACAGGGAAAATTTCATTTGACCAATTTGGCTTGTACCCTTTAGAAAATGCCTCGCGATATTTGCTTATCCGAACATTGTCTTTTAATTTGAATTTATTATTTGGACTGAACATTTTTAAATTTCTAAAGGTTGGTTTTAACAAACTTTTTTCATTCTTAGCATTTACATCAATCGGTTTCATTTTGATATTTCCATGTTTAGTATAATTGTATTTGTGTACAATTTAAGGCAATAATTCTAACCAATTATTGCCTTGAAAACTAAATTCCTTCCACATGTACATATTGATTAATTTTTAACTTATTCATAAGGTTCTTAAAGTCTTTGTTGTAAAACTCCTTCCCCGCGTCTGTTTGTAAGTTTTTCAGAAAATTTGGTTCAATTAAAATTGTTTTTATTGCATGTGTTACATCTTTTGAAGTTTTATTCTTTATAAGCAAAGCCCACAAAAATTTGCTAAATGCATTAATAACCACTAAAATATATTTAAATCCTTTATTATGTTTTGCATAAGGATCACCTTGGAATAAATCATTTAATCCGCGAACAACAATTATTCTACGCTATTTTTTCATCATTTTGTTAAAGTTAGATATTTAATAATCATTTCTAGAAAAGCGTGCAATGAGCTTATCTGACTTAAGTGAAATCTTATCACCCAAATTCAGTTTAATATTTAACAATTTGTCGTGATTATATAATTGATCGTTTATTTTAATTTAAAAAGTATTGCTACTGACATTAATGTGATTTATAATTCCCTCTTTTAAAGGAAATTTATAAACCATAATTCATAGAAAAATGAATAAATCATATGCAGATTTTAGATGACTTTTTTCAAGTGATTTCGCAATTCACGTCCACTCCTGTCTATAGACATACTAAAAATGTTTTAATTTTTGAAAACCATTCGATTATATTAACTTCGTTTAACTCTTCAATTAGGCTCTTTATTTCATTCACTTGACTATTATTACCTGCCAAATTAAGAACTAATTAATAATCTTATTTTTTTAACTAGCTCATTACAATCATCCCAACGCACATATTCTTTTGGTTTATTTGAGTATTGCATTTGTAATCCTTCTCCAAGATGTAGTTGTTGTTTTGGTTGTGTTAATCTTAATTTCGATCTGTATTCTCTAAATCAATTAGGGGTTTAGTTACATTTATATACTTATTACTAGGGATGGGATATTTAGGTACTAAAAACTGAAAAATAGGTAACTAAAAAGGTACTAAAAAAAGCATTTTAGGTTAAAAAAACAGCATTTTAGGTAAAAAAAAAAACATTAAAAGTTTAAGTTTCGTTTATAATTTTGTTTAGCCGCATACCCAAACACAGAACATACCCACAATAAACTATTTCCATGCAATAAACTGTGTTTTACTGAGTGACACTCACTACACAGAAGTTCTATGACAGAACATAAGTTCACTATAGTAGTGAGTCACTACAAAGAAGGTAACTGTAAAAAAAGTTACTGTTACTGTCTGTAACCATAAGAAAAAATTCTATACCGTTGAGTTGCACGCCCTGGATAAAATATTGGCGCAAATTTTAAAAAGAACAAAAAAAATAAAATAAGTAAAAATACGTAAAAATAGGTAACAAATATGTGAATAAAACTGACAAATTAAAAAATATGTAACAAAAGTATAAAAAGGTAGTTTAAACCAAAAACCTCCAAAAAAGGTAAAAAAGGTGAAAAAAAGTTAAAAAAAAATAGGTAACAAAAGTATAAAAAGGTAGTTAAAAGCAAAAACCTCCAAAAAAGGTAAAAAAGGTGAAAACAAGTTAGGTTCATATAAAAGAAAATCTTTTAAAACACATTTTGGCATTATTGGTTTTCAAATAGTTACATCGGTTAAAAAAAGGTAAAATAACTAAAATCCCATCCCTACTTATTACCTCTATTTCCTGCTTTTTGTGCATTTGCATTAAAATTTCTTTTGTGTGCATTTATGTTCAATATAATTCTTTATAATTATTTCAATATTCAGGAGTTATTAAACTTTCGTTTGGTTTATTTTTAAATATTATTTTATATAAACCATATTTGTAATAATAGTACAGTCATCTTGGTCAAAAAAAGGGATCAACCTCGGAATCTAACGGAATAAGCTGAATTTTTGTGAAAACCTTTATTTTAACATTACAAATGTTGTCTCAAAAGTCACATATGCCAACTTGTGAGCGGCCTTAGATATTCAAGGTCAAAGATCGCAAAAATCAGTTTTTTAAGAATATCTCGTTTTCTTTGCCTCCTATCGTATTTGCATTTATTATAAAAGTTGTAGAGAATAAAATTCTCTACAAATTTTGTTTACAAATTTTTTTTATACATCGAACCGTTTTTGAAATAGAGGGCGCAGAGTGTGGAGCGCTCAGCCATACGTACCTTTAGCACAAGGTAAATCGTGAATCCCAATCTATTATACCGTTTTTTTTTTAATTAATAATATAATAAATATTACTAAAATAAAAATTTAATACCTTAGAGGGCGCAGAGTGTGGAGCGCTCAGCCATACGTACCTTTAGCGCAAGGTAAATCGTGAATCCCAATCTATTATACCGTTTTTTTTTAATTAATAATATAATAAATATTACTAAAATAAAAATTTAATACCTTATACTTATATTTATTTTTATTTTAAATCAAATATATTTTATCTTCATATAAATATATCTTATATTTTAATTTAATTTTAATGAAGGATAATTGGATCGTAGTAGGAAAAAATGTTTTTATTTATATTAATATTATAATTATTATTATTATTATTAATCTTTATCTTCTTTATCCTCATCTTTTTCAGATTGGCCAGCAATTTCAGACTCATTCTCATCATCACTCTCCTCGTTATCATTGACATTAATTGTCATATATTCAAAAACTTACTTATAACGCGTTTGTACTTTGCAGATTTGTTTGCCTTTGTTGCCTCATCTGCGACTTCACCACAAAATAAGCAAAATATTTCCATCATTCCCTTTTTTACGAGGCCTCGCGAGGTACAGTTGATGACGTTGAAGGTTCAGTCTCTTCAAGGCGACGTTTTGCTGCTGCAATTTTACTATAGTACGCTATAGCGTACAATTTTCGACACTCAATATGAACATTCACAGAAGTCAAAGTATTTAGGTAGTTTATGTTTATTTCTCTCAATAATTGCTTCTTTTAAAGTCTTTATACCGCGCACAAAAGTCACAGAATCACCTTCAGAAAGTAACTTATTAGAAATAAAACACAAATCAGCCATGTTAACCTTTAAAATATTACGAATATTATCTGTCACAACCCTAGACCTATACCTAGGTTCACAACTTGCTTTAAATATAGGTATACCTAACCTTTTTATTTATAGCAAGCCCGCTATAGTATTTCCAGGTCTGTTATTTTAAAAGCAATATCTGGATCCAAGAGATGACCAGAGACATATTCAAGGCAAATTCATTTAATGTCTTTTCTTCTTAAAATGCATTTATTATTAATTGGAATAACATTAGAATATATTTAGAATGATTCACTTCATTATTTAATTATTTGTATGTCAAAAGTAAGTAATATTTAATGACTATCTGTTTTAAAAAAATATATAAAAATAAATATAAGGTTTTAAATTGTTATTTAAGTAATATTTATTAAATAATTAATTAAAAAAACGGTATAATAGATTGGGATTCATGATTTACCTTGAGCTAAAGGTACGTATGGCTGAGCGCTCCACACTCTGCGCCCTCTATCTCAAAAACGATTAGACGTATAAAAAAATATTTAAACAAAATTTGTAGAGAATTTTATTCTCTACAACTTGTATAATAAATGCAAATACGATAGGAGGCAGAGAAAAGGAGATATTCTCAAAAAATTGATTTTTGCGACCTTTGACCTTGAATATCTAAGGCCGCTCACACGTTTTCATATGTGACTTTTGAGACAACATTTGCAATGATAAAATAAAGGTTTGTACAAAAATTCAGCTTATTCCGTTAGATTCCGAGGTGAAATGCTAAGATGACTGGACTAATAAATAATAAATAAATAATAATAACAAATAAGTACCCTTATATATTTTATCTTTTTTAACAATATCATTTCCCTTAAAATCCATTTCTGAATCTCCATGATGAATTTTTTCCAAAACTGGTTCGTAAGTCAAATAATGAGTATCAAATCAATGTTCAGTGTCTCGTATAACGTGGCATTTTATTAAATTGATCCCAATACAAATTAAAAAATGTATCTTGATTTATGTAATCATCCATGGTAGCAAATTGCTGTTCTCGAATAATGTCATCGTAAAAATAACTGTCTTGTAATGTTTCGTCTTTTAATGTGCTATCAAATATTTCACCCTCATCAATAAACTGTGGTACTGCTGCCGGTTTTTTTATAGGACTAGATGATAATTCTTTTGGTATATGTATTTTTTTAACATCATAGTCGCTTTTTATTGCCTTTTCCTTTTTAACATTTGCCAATGGCGGCAGCTACGGTGAAGCTTTTGATATTAATTGATTTAATGGTCCCAACTATTTGAAATCTACCAGCACTTAATTTAGCTTTAATATCCTTTCGAATTTTTATTAATTTTTTGGTTAATATTTTATCTTTTATAATTTTTAGCATATTTGTGCGTGTTAATGTTGGAATGGTTTATGTTATATTAAATTTAATTTTACATTGCAATCATATTTATTAAAATTCATTCACTGTTTTTGCAACAGTACCTAAGGCTCCTAATAGTGGTATAAGAGGTAAAAATTCCCCCGGTTTGAATTCAAATGAAATTATCCTAGGCACTTTAATATTTTTACGACCTCCGGCTTTCTTTATGGTCATACGAGCTGCTTTAAGTGCTGTAGCGCCGGATTTTTTAGCGAACTTCTATTTAATAAATCTAAATTTATATATTGAAATTTTTTTTTAACTTTATTGACTAGTCCTTGTTTAAATGGGATCGGTTTTTGAGGTTTTCGGATACCCATTCCAAGTTTTCTATTAACCTTCATTCCAGTTGTTACTAACCAAGCAGCTGCTTTCTCAACTAATTTCGAGTCTTTAGATTTAACCCTTTTCCAAGCTTTATTTTTCAAAATCCAATCCGCTTTATGTCTATCCTCCAAACTTTTATTTTTCGAGTACGCAATATCGTGCTTCTTACATGCAGAGTCTAATGTTTTTAGTATCACCCCTCTTAATTTTTTTTTCTAATTTGGTACCTAGACCACAAATTGGTATGAGGGCAAGTGAAGCTCAAAGGTTAGGTTATTAATAGCAGAATTTAATAAACCCCTAGTCATTAATATTTTTTGTTAAAATTTGACAAATTCGCGTTATTATGTTTGCCGGTATGGAGGTGGCTTTTGATTTTGCCCATTTGTATAATAGCATTGGTGTAACGATTACGTTAATTGCAGGCAACTGTAGGCTTGCACGAGTTCCTAAACGTTTTGAGGTTTTCTCCAAGCCCATCGCACTGTCCTTTTCCGTAAGACGTTGAGTGAAAATGTATCCGCATGGTGGCTTGCTGTATCATGTTTTAATTCATCTGAAATCATAACAATAATAATTTAATAATAATAATAATAATAATTTATTGAACACATTTTTACAAATAATTTCACATGTACATAATTTATTTATTCCTATTCGCACCTGATTTCATATGAAATCGTGTCGTGCTTAGATTTTAATAACAAAAACAATATTCGAGTTGTGTGTTTTTAACAAAAAAATTAACAAAATAAAAAATTAAATATAATCTGTAAATTGATAATTTTTTTTAAATTTATTTGCTATATACTGTGCGTGTTCTTTCCATTTTAAATTATTATTTATGATTAGACCCAAGTACTTTATGGACTCAGCCCTTTTAACTAATCCTTGGCACTGACAGCCTAGCTCAAGATCACAAACTGCATGTAACTTAATTTCCTGAAACTGTGGTTGATTTGCCATGCTGTTTGTGATACACATAAATTTTGTTTTAGAAAAGTTAAGACTTAATAAATTACTATCAAGCCAACATTTTACCTTATAGATGTTATGCTCACTGTCGGTTTTTGCTTCTGTCCAAGTTTTTCCATTAATAAGTAAAACCGTATCATCTGCGTAGGATAGTATATCACCGTTTATTGATAGCTTAAGCATTTCATTTATGTATATCACAAACAGCTTGGGACCCAAAACCGTTCCTTGGGGGACGCCATATTCAATTTTTCGGGATGAGCTTAGCGTGTTGTTTATTTTTACAAATGATCCACGATCACTTAAGTAACTTTCGAAAAGTTTAAGAACAATTCCCCGGATTCCATATTGTTCCAACCTGAGTGAGTAGCATTGGATGTGATATGCTATCAAAAGCTTTTGCCAAGTCTAAAAATATTGCAATTACTTTTTTATTATTATTTAATAGGTCGTGAATCTTATTTGTAAAACTAAATAGGGCGTCCTCCGTAGAACATTTGTTCGTAAATCCAAACTGTTTTGATGAGATCAGGTTATATTTTTTTAGGTGTTCATCAAGTCTCCGAGCAATACATTTTTCAAAAATGTTGGCTATTATTGATATTACTGAGATGGGTCTATAGTTTTTGGGGTCAAGATGGTCACCGCTTTTAAAAATTGGTGTTATAATGGCGTATTTTAGCAATGTAGGAAATTGACCCTTATTTAATGACAGATTTATTACATGAACTATACTATCCGCAATATTATCTTTAATGTTCTTTATAGTTTTAGTACTGATTTTATCTATTCCGCATGAAGTGTTATTTTTTAGCTCATTAATTATATTTAAAACTTCCCTTTTTTAAACTGGCCTTAAAAACATGGAATTTATTGTGTTTGTTTGAGAAGTGTTGGCAGGGTTAAAATCAGAAAAGGGGTCATTTTTTATGGAGTTTGCCATATTTTCTCCAATCTTGGAGAAGAAATTAATAAAGGTATTGGCAACATCGACTGGCTGACTTGAAATAAAATTGTTATTGATGCGTAGTGTGATGTCATTGGTTTTTGTATTGTTTATGTTTTTTATTATTCCCCAAATTTCTTTTGATTTATTCTGCGATGTATTAATCTTATCCGCGTAATATTTTGGTTTAGTTTGTTTTAAGCATTTTGTAAGAAAATTTCTATAACTTTTATACCGATTTAATAATTCAATATTATGTTTATCCTTCAAAAACTTCTGCTTTAAGTTATTCCTTGTTTTAATTGATTTAATAAGTCCCTCTATGATCCATGGTTTAATTTTGTTATAAGATTTAATATTTTTATAGGTTGTACAATTATTTATAAAATAGTTTAGTTTGTTAATAAATATTCTATACGCTTCATTAGGATTATCTTGTAAATAGAGGTCATGCCAAGATTCATTTTGTAAAATATTATTAAGTTTATTATAGTCTATTATTTTTAATCTCTTTAATTCATATTTAGGTATTTTTAATTTGTGATTATTTGATATGTTTATTATAATATTATAGTGATCTGTAATGTGAGATCTATGAACTATGGGAATTATTTTGTTTTTATTTTATAAGAGTTCCGATATTTTAATAAAAGCGTAATCAATACAAGATTTTGATTGTTGTGTTACTCTAGTACTTCGATTTATATATGAAAGATATCTATAAGAGCTCATTATATTTATGTAAGAATTTGATACCATATTTAATGATTTAATATCAATATTAAGATCACCAATAAACAAATTAAAATCATTTGCACTATTTAACCCTAAAAAGTAGTCAAGTTCAATAATAAAAACCTCAGTATTGTGGAGGGTGGTCTGTTGTAACTTAAATTATTTAATGAAAATGAAATTTTTGATAAAGTTATTTTAGATTCAATTAATTTAATATGGTTGACTTTTGCTTCTATTTTTTCTCTAATATAAATAACCAGACCATCGTTTTGATTTGTTGTTGATTCATTATAGTATAATAGGTATTTGTTTATGTTATAGTGTAGGAGATCCTCAAGTTTCACTTAAAATAATAATATCGTAATCTAATGATTCTAGGTATATTAAAAGTTCATCAAAATTTTTTCTTAAACTACGTATATTAAAATGTACAATATT